CAAGCGCGCGCGGTGCGAGGGGCCCCGCGGCGCCGGCAGCGACCCGCGGCTCTGGGACACCGAGCGGCTCTGCCAGCACCTCGCCCGCTGCGGCGTGGGCGACCCCAGCCTGCTGCGCCGCTTCCGAGGTACGGCGGGCCGGGGCCGGAGCCGCGGCCGCGTGGCCCGGCCGCTGGTGCTGACGCTTCTCTTGCTCCCGCAGAGAGCGGAGTCACCGGGAGGATGCTGCTGGACCTGCCGGCCTGCGCCCCCGAGCTCGTCCGCGTCTGGTGAGCGCCGCCGCGGGAAGGGGCCCAGGCGCGGTGGCTGCGGCGGGCGGGCCGTGCCAGCCCGGCTGGCTGCGCTAGGCCGCGGGGGAGCGCCGGGAACGGGCCGATCCCGGAGCCTCGGAGCAGCTCCCAGCTCCCGCTGATCCCAGCGCTACCGTGGCGCGGACGCTTGCTGCTCAAATAACCACGAGAAGCAAAAAACCTCCATCCTTTAGAAAGGTTTAATGAAGGTCCCCGGGGTAGCGCAGTGAGCTTTGGCGTGTTGCTGGGAACTCAAGAGTGAGCTCCACGGGTTCTGGTAGGAACTTTCTTTTCTGCCTGAAGTTGCTGCTGCTCCACCTCCAGGAACGGCCCCGGTGTTTGGCAGAGGTGTGCTCGGGAGAGGCTGGCTGTCACCGGTCTGCCTCGGAGAAATCCCGGGCATTGACAGCTCCGCCGTGCACTCGGCTCTCTGTTGTGCCGGCAGGAGCGTGGACTGCTGTGGAAGAAGAAGTGTTGTGGTGTGTTCAGGCAGAACAGGGGCCTGCGGGTGAGTGGCCGAGTCCTTGCTGCCCTGAGCGTCCAGAGCGGGCAGTCTGGCTGGTAGTGGTCACCTGCCACAAACACCGGGACACTGCATGCTGTTCAAGTGTGTGAAGGATTGTTCCCAGCAGTGAGGGATGACGGGGCCCAAAACCCTTTTATCTTTCTGGTGGTGAATATATTTTCTTACCTTTCTGGAACAGTAGAGAGTATGAATATGTCCTGCTATTCTGTGTGTTGGGAAAGGCCCCTTTGCCCCTTCTCTGCCCCACTGGGGATCCTCTTTTGCTCCCCTCTGGTGGGATGTGAGCCTGCTTGCTCACCACATACTTCCTGGTGGTTTTTAATCTTGTGATGTCTTTTCTTTACTCCTTTGTTAATCTTGTTTATACTGTTTCCTTCAAATTTGTCTCAAAACCCATGTGCTGCCTCCAGCTGTTGGCTGGTGGCCCTGAGGTAGGCTGGGGTGTGTAATCTGGCTGGTGCACACAAGTGCAGAGCTGTGCTTTCTGCTGGGGGTTAGAGCACTGTGGTGCTGGCTCCTTGGCTGAAGGCTCGTCTGAGCTCATGCTGTGCTGAGGGTGAAGGGCTCTTCTGCTGTTTTATTGAGACATCTGTGTACAAAGTGGGGTGGGAAAGGGCAGGTGTGTGGGCACGAGTAGTAGAAGACAATAAAAAGCTGGTGTGACGCAGCGGGACAAGGCAGAAGTGCTGTGCCTCAGACAAGGTAAGACATGCTGGAGTCATTCAGGTATTTTTGGTTTCTCTTTTTGTGGAAGAGGGGTTTAACTGCCGCGGTTCGAAGTGTTCAGATAGAAATGCTGTGATGCCGTGAAGGCAGCTGAAGGCTTTGTTTATTGCTGAAATTCCAGGTAATTGCCTGAAATGACAAGCTGGTGTCTGGTTTTATTTAGGACTTGCCAGGAAGCTGGTTGCTTCTAGCAGGGAAGGAGCATCAGGTGTCCAGGACACATTGGACACGTGCAGCCAGTCTGGGGAGTCAGAGACTGTCTGTCAGTGCTGGACATGGGCAGCAGGATGGGGCAGCCAGGGGTCCCTCAGCATGGGATACAGGTGATGGGGGCACAGGGCTGTGGAGAGCAAATGGTGATGGGTTTACAGGTGGCTTGTGGGTTTTCTTTGTGTAAGATATTAACTTTGTATAAGTTTCCTTCTGTGAGATCTGAAATCTTGTTTCTATTAAGCTGAAACTGTTGCGAGTTGGAGGAGAAATTGCTCAAGCATTCTATTTTTTTGTAAACACCTCTAACTTTGCATTAAGAACAATTCTTTTGCTGCCCACTGCACACTGTCCTGCAAAGTTTGATAATTTCTCTGTGACAGGCCACTAGTGAATGCCTGTCTTTATTTCCCTGGGTTCCTGGGTGTTCAGAGGGGAGAGCTTGGGCCACTGGTGCTCTCTGAGTTCCCCAGGTGTTCTCATGTTGCTGGCAGTGGATGTTTTGTGTGATGTGCAGAGTGCTGCCTGCTGGACACAGATGATGAGTGGGGCTGTCTGGCTGACCTCTTCAGGCACAGGAAAGGGATTTTCTTGTCCTTGTGACCTGTGGCATGAAGGAGGGTGTGGACAAAGCAGGGAGGGGAGTGGGTGAGGAAGTGCCAGTTGTGCCATTTCCAAGCAGCCATCAGGATGTTGATTTGGCTGTTGGAGGAAATCTGCCTGCAGAGCCCTGGAAAACTACAATTTCCTATGTTAGCAGGATTTGTCTTGCTTGGGAGGGTCTGGCCTTGTAGATTTCAGGTGAAAAATGCACTGCAGGTGTTTTCTATCTGAAGGAGGATGAAGAGCAGGGAAGGTGGGGCATCCAGGCAATTGGTTACACTAGTATCCAGCATGCAGGATCTGACCTTTCCCCAATTCTCCTCCTCATCCCACCAGAGTAGCGAGTGGCTGTGTGGGACTGAGTCCCTGTCTGGGGTTAATCCACCACAATCCTTCTTGGAGCCCAGTGTGGGGCACAAAGAGTTACCAGATGACAGATCTGAACAGGGCATATTAAAATACAAATAGTGTGGCCAGCAGGACTAAGGAAGTGATTTTTCCCCTGTGCTGGTTGGGCCACATCTTGAGTGTTGTGTCCTGGTCTGGGCTCCCTGATTTAGGAAGCATGTTGAGATGCTGGAGCATGTCCAGAGGAGGGCAACACGGCTGGTGAAGCGTCTGGAACTCGAGCCTTATGAGGAGTGGCTGAGGGAGCTGGGGTTGTTTAGCCTGGAGAAGAGGAGGCTCACAGGAGACCTTACCACTCCCTACAACTCCCTAAAAGGAGGTACTTCTCCCAGGCAACAAGTGACAGGACAAGAGGACACAATCTTAAGCTGCACCAGGGTAAGTTTTAGCTAGACATTAGGAAAAAATCCTTAACAGAAGGAGTGATTGGGCATTGGGATGGGCTGCCCAGGAAGAGGAATCATGATCCATGGAGATATTAAAAAAAAAAAAAAGACTGGGTGTGTCACTTAGTACCATGGTTTCGTTGATAAGGTGATGTTAGTTCATAGGCTGGATTTGATGATATCAAAGGTCTTTTGCAACCTGCTTAATTCTGTGATTCTGTGTGAAAAATAAGTTGTTAAAAGCATTCATTATATTAGTTTAATAGCTGCTTGTCGCAATGTTGATTTCTTTACCCTCAGAGTTGTATCATGGAATACATGTTGGTCTGGGCATCACCAAGGGAGTTTTTCATCTTAGGATTGTGGAATGGTTTGGGTTGACCTTATTGATACCTCATTTAGACCCCTGCCACAGAAAGGGACACCTTCTGCTATCCCAGGCTGCTCCAAGCCCTGTCCAACCTGGCCTTGGTCACTTCCAGAGTTGGGGTGCCCAGCTGCTCTGGGCAACCTGTGCCAGGACCTCAGCACCCTCACAGGGAACAATTTTTTCCTAACACCCAATCTAACCCTGCCCTCTGTCAGTTTGAAACCATTGGCCCTTGTCCTGACAGTATCTGCCCTTACAAGAAGTCCCTCTCCCTCCTTTGTGTAGGTCTCCCTGAGGAACTGGAGGGCCTCACTGAGGTCTCCTGCAGACTTCCCTTCTCCAGGCTGAGCAGCCCCAGCTCTCAGCCTGTCTGCTTAGGAGAGGTGCTCCAGCCCTGCCTTGGTGCAGTCTGATCAGCAGCTACAGCCCAAGAGCTCCCTGTTAGGGAAAGCAGTACCAAAGTGGTTGAGAGGAACAGTGCTCAACAACAGCTCACACATCACATGCCTTTAATATTTTAGGGATTGTGAATTATTAAATTATTCGGATGAGAATACATAGTGCATCAAGCAGTACTTATTCCTAATAGTTGGCACTTTGTAGTCTTATTTTCTGTTAAGTTTTATGTTGAAAGGTTGATGTCAAACTGATCTCAGTGGTTAACTGTTGGAGAAAAAGTATTTTCTCATGGTAGTGTTTGCTGTCATAGTGAGGCTGAAACCATTTAGCTCAAGGGCAAGGCTTGCAGACAGAGTTAGTAAAAGAAGGTGTGATCGGGCATATTATCTCTCTCTCTCCAGACTTGTCCCACCTGTGTTCTTAGACTGCTGTGGCTACAGCAGAGTATCTGCACTGGAAGTTGAGGTGTGTGTTGTGAAGGGGACCTTTAGTAATTTATTAAAAATGACAGCAGAATGTCTTTGCAAAATAGAAAAATCAGTCTCAACAAAATCAGAACATGTTTTAAACTGCAGTGGTTTTGCTGCTGGAGTTGAAATTAATTTATGTAAAATTCAAGTTAATTTGACAAAATTAAACTTTTAACAGACAGTTGACTAATTACAAGAAATTTTTATAAAAATAATTTGTTGGGAATCTGACATTTTATTTTTAGGAGGTTTTGCATGCTTAAAAAATGTCAGTTATGGGAAAGCAACATGCAGCATCTGAATAAGTTTAAAGGACTCCAGGTGTGGCTTACTACAGTTTTTTTCATGAGTTTCTTGGTGGTTTTATTTCTCAGTTCTGTGTAAGTGGGAGAAGCACTTACACTGCTCTACTGACATGTTCTACAGCTATTTGTTTCCTTCCTTCTATACTTGATTTTAGAAGGATAAACGTTTTCAGTATTTTTCTGAAAAAGTTACAGTTGCAGTCTTCTTCCACCAAGGAACATCAAAGTAATGTGAACTTCCATAAGTAATTCCATATGTACTGCAAATTGTAAAGGGACATGCCTTGCAGACTTTGCTCTCAGTGTTTCTTTTTCCTTCCTAGCTGCCCAGCTGAGCGACTGGAAGTGCTGGCGTGCCTGACACAGATGCAGCAGCAGCAGCAGCAGCAGATGGAGGTGATGAAGGTAACCCATGCTATGTGGACTCCATGGCCAGGTCCTGCCCCAAGCCCTGCACGGGGCTCTGCTCCCCTCTCTGCCTCCCCACTCTTGGCTTGGTGCTGCCAGCTGGTGCCTTTCCTTTGCCCAGCAAACTCTGGGCCCTTGGTAGTGGTGGTCTGTGAAAAACCACATTAACTAGAAGAAATACTGGAATCATCATGTGGAAGCTTTCAGTGGGCACCTGCAGGTTGTGAGGGATTAAATGAGCAAAGAGCTGTTTGACATGTGTTGGAGAAGCTCCCTTTCACATCCCTCTGTGTTTATTAGTTTTTCCCCAGGCCTGAGTTAACAGACTCCTCCTTGCTTTCACTGTTTCCTGTGTCCAGCTGTTTCTCCCAGTGGTGTGTGTTGCTTTAACTGGGGCCAGGGCTGTGCACGTTCTGTAGTAGTCTGCATATCTGCTAGAGCCCTCCCAGATCAGTGACCAAGGGCAGAAAGCACAGGAAAACCTTATTTGCCTCACTATTTTACCAAGATATGTATGTGATGGAATGGTTTTACCTGCAGTTTAACAGCAAAGATCAAAGATTAAATGTACCTTCTGCACTTGAGTCCCTGTAGTTACTGAGATGTCTCTAAAAATATGTGCTTATCAGGAAGTGCTTATTTCATATTTTGGTCATCTTGGGGGTTTATATTTTGTTTTAAGAAAAAAGTGACAATCATAATTTCCACCCAGCAATATTGCATTTGATTTTGAAAGCATGAAGAGTATCAGGCCAAACACTTGTATTGAATATCTCAGTCATGTATTGCAGTATGCTCCTTTAATTGGAATAGAAGATTAATAAAGACAGCAGTTTTCACACATATTAGGTTTTGGAATTGCGCAGTTAGAGATAACATTTTTAGGCATTTTGACTTCCCTTGCTATGTGAAATAGGCAGTTTTATCTTTTTGGTGTCAAGTTTTAGTAGTTCTCCAAGATAAATTTGGTTGTACAGAGAGGTTGAGGATGCCCCGTGTCTGGAAATGTTCAAGGTCAGATTGGATAGGGCTTGGAGCAGCCTGGTCTAGTGAAAGCTGTCCCTGCCCATGGTAGTATGTTGGATCAAGGTGATCTTTAAGGTCCCTTCCAACCTCAACCATCCTGTGATTCTGTGATAGATCTTGATAATAGGGTTGGCAGGATATGTCTGTTTTACAGATGAGCAGTCTCTCCCACCAAATACCTGACCCACCAAATACCTTGGTGCCTGTTTCTTTTCGAAGTCAAATTTTAAATGTTTGTGGTTTTTTTTCTTGCTTCTGTAGGTTTTTAATGATCCTATTCATGGGCACATTGAATTGCATCCCCTGCTTGTTCGGATCATCGACACCCCTCAGTTCCAGCGCCTGCGGTATATCAAGCAGCTGGGTGGCACATACTTTGTTTTTCCAGGAGCCTCTCACAACCGCTTTGAACACTCCCTGGGGTAAGGTGGTGGTTCTGATGCATCTCTGGCATCTAGATATCCCTGAGTTTGGTTCTGCTGCTGTGGAGTGCCAGCCAAGGGGCACTGCTTGGTGAAAACTGCTGGGAGGGCGTTTCTGGTCTCAAATGTTCTGGATATCCCGTGTGGTTGTGGGCTGTTCCCTTGAATTTCTTTTAATAAAGACAGATAAACAAACCAAGATGGATCAATGTTAGATTTCCTTCCCCACTCTTTATTATTCTAAGAATAATGTAGCTGAAAACTAAGTGCTCTATGTTCCCCAGTCAAAATACAGGTTTTAAAGAATAAACTTAGTAGGTGTACCAGGCTACTCTTATGATCTGTCAGACAGTTGTAATCCCCACACATCATCCAGCACAGCCAAAATTAATTTGATTTGTAATGTTTGCCTTTGTAGGTAAATGTGCTTCATGCAATCCATGGCAGGTTGTCAGGCTGGTAGCTGTCATTCCATTAAGCAGAAATGTGATGGACTCAAGGATTCGTAGGGTGTTGCTAGGTCATTCACACTCCTCAGGAAAGCTGATGAATGACAAATTTGAGCTTGTTTTAAATGTATATCTCAAGGGGCACTGAAATTAAGTTTGTAAGCAGTTTTTATTCAGGTGATCTGGTCAGCCCAAAGTTGCTTTTGTTGGTGCTGAAATATTGTGGAGTAAATCTTACTTAGGATGAGATTCAAATGGCTGTTGGCAAAAGGGTGAGATGAATGAGGCAGCCTGGATTAATTGCACCTGGTAAACCAAAAAGACAGAAATTTGGTTGAATATAAACAAAGTTTTCACAACAGAAGTCTGAAAACTTCAGTTCTGTCAGCAACTTTTCTTTTGAACACTTACATTGATCTATCGAGTTAAATTTAGGACATTTGTTCTCCACTTGCATATAATTTCAAAGATTCTGCAGTGTTACACATAGAAGAACTGAGCTTTGTGTGCTTACTGGTTTAGTAAAAAGCCATCAAACAGTGAAATTTGGACTAATGAAACATATTACCTCGTCATAGAAAGCCTTGTCTTGCTTTAAGCTGTTCTGAAAGAGGAACTGTTGAGGCAAGTAGAGAAAGAGGTTTGTGCAGAGGTTGTAACAAACAGTTTATGGGACTATATGCTATATATTTTCTCCTGCTGGTTTTGTGCCCGTTCAATTAAATCTCAAATCTAAAATGAATGAGAAGAAGAAAAATAATTGTCATGAGCTATTAATAAGGTAGCAGTTTGTACCATGTGTAAAGTACCATATGCTTTGGTGACTGTTGTGGGCCTTTACAGTTTGCCCTGATTGGATTCAGTGTAAGCTGAGGCACTTTAAGATTCTCACTGTCAGTAGTGCACTGCTGTTCCCTTACACAGCTTCTGTGGGGTTGTGTGTTATGAAATACTGCAGAATGCTGTGTAGTCTCTCTGTTTTGGGCATGGTATCCCATGCTTTTTTGCTTTCAGAGGACTAAAACTCTACTACAGGAAGCAGTTTGTGATTCTCTCCCACATCAGGGTTTGGGTATTCTTTGCATGCTGCCTCTCAGATAAGGACTGTGACAATGGAGCAAAACAGAGTAGGGGAGCTTCTCTGTTTCTGTTCATCCTAAACCGATGCTATATTTCTTTCTTTTCCTCCTGCAACAGGGTTGGCTACCTTGCAGGATGTCTGGTTCGTACACTGAAGGAGAGACAGCCAGAACTGGGTATAACCCAGCGAGACATCCTTTGTGTAGAAATTGCTGGGCTTTGTCACGATTTGGGTAAGGAACAACTGAGATGGGTTGTTGCTCTTGAAAAGCTAACCAGGATGAAAGGCTGGCTGTGAGGTCAGAATATGTGAGCTGGTTTGGGTTGCTCAGTGCATAGCCATATTAGAGAACAGTTTTATCTGTTCTGTTTGGTCTGGAGTACATCTGTGGAGACAGTTCCCCCTGAATCTGTAGCCACTCTTAGCTAGTGTTTTGTCCTGTTTCCAAATGGTGCTTAGAGTTCTGCCCTCAGTGGCTGAGGTGTCTACTTCCTTCTGTGATTTCTCCAGGTCTCTTGAAACATTTCAGAATGAAAATTAGTGTTCCTTTCAAAAATTGTAACATTTATTTCATAACTAGGTCTTTTCTTCAGAGCTGACACAGTGTAATTTAATATTCTCAGTGTTGCTACACTACTTGCCGGTGGTGTAGGTGCTGGAACTGGCTGTTAAGTGCAGTAGTACTTGAAGTATCTTAGGAAGGTACTCATTACACCTGAATCTTCCTCACAGATGATGGGGAAGGAATTATCTGGATGGTTGCACTCAGAGCGGTGTTTCAGGCTCGGTGTCCAGGGGAGCCCTGTTGGGGCTGGTGCTGTTGGATATCTGTCAGTGCTGGGGACAGTGGGATCCATGCACCCTTGGGCAGTTTGCCAGCAGCACCGAGCTGTGTGATGGGGTCACATGCTGGAGGGAAGGGAAGGGGCATTCAGAGGGACCTGGACAGGCTGGAGGGGCGGAGAGTGGATTGAGAGCAGCCCTCAGGAGAAGACCTTGGGGGTGTTGGTGGGTAAGACAGGACCAGAGTCAGCCCAGAACCTGCCACGTGCTGGGCTGATCCCCAGCATGGGTAGAGGTGGAGGGGAATTCTGCCCCTCTGCCTTGCTCAGGTGACACCCCAGCTGCAGAGCTGCCACCAGCCCTGCGCTCCACCATAAGGATGGGGTGCTACTTATGCACCCCATAATTGCCCCAAGGCCTTGGAGATAGACAAAGGGCTGGAGCCCCTCTGCTCTGGAGCCAGGCTGGGAGGGCTGGGGGTGTTCAGCCTGGAGGAGAGAAGGCTGCAGGGCATCCTTAGACCAAATAAAAGGGATTCTAGGAGAGCTCAGAGGGACTTTGGACAAGGTCTTGGAGTGACAGGACAAGAAGGAATGGCTTCCCACTGGCAGAGGGCAGGGTTAGATGAGATATTGGGAAGAAATTCTTCCCTATGAGTGGGGAAGCCCTGGCACAGGCTGCCCAGAGAAGCTCTGGCCACCCTATCCCCGGAAGTGTCCAAGGCCAGGTTGGACAGGGCTTGGAGCAGCCTGGGATAGTGGAAGGTGTCCCTGCCCATGGCAGAGGTCTGAGTGAGGTGATCTTTAATGTTCCAACCCAAACCAGTCTAAGACTCTATGATATGTCAAGAAAATTCAAATACAGGAGAATTCACATTCTAAGCTTGCTCAAGAAATTTTTGCTGACAACTGTGTCTCAGACTAAACCTGTGTAATCTTTATATTTAAGGTCATGGGCCATTTTCACACATGTTTGATGGAAGATTTATTCCACTCACTCGTCCAGGTTTGAATTGGAAGGTAGGCTTTTCACTATTAAAATAAAAAGACAAACCTGAGATTTTTAGAGGCAGAATAATGAATCTTTAAAGAGTTCCATTGCTTGTGAGGCTGTAGTGGTCATCTGGCCTTACCTTATTGCATCATTCTGATGGCTTAATTGAAAACCAGAATGTTGTTTTCTAATCTTGTGATGATATCCTTGTTAGGTCTGCACTGATAGTTTTGGTCAGCATTGTGCCTTAAAATGCGTATTGAGGGCTTTCTGCAGAATATATTTTACATTTCAAAAATACCAACTGGCAGCTTTCTTTTTAGTATGTTTAGTCCAAAGGTAGGATATTCAGTACTGTTTAGAACTCAAACTTTCCAGAATTTTGAGCAGAGTTTCAACAGTTGTTTGCTGTCAATGAAGTGCAACACAGTCCTTTCAGGCCTCTCTCTGCTTGTAATTTCTTAGCAAAATCAGATGAGTAATCTTTTACACAGCAAAATTGATATTTTGTCTTTTAGCATTGTAACTGCCTTGCTGCTGTTTGTCAACACACAGAATTAACAGCTCTCTGCTGAAGAGTGTGTTTCTGGACTCTGTAGACCAGGTGATTTCCTCTTCTGTTTAATTGAAATGACTAGGAAAGCACCCAGCTGCTGCACTTCACACCAGCCTGCCCATGTGCCCTGCTTGGCAGTGCTGATGGCTTGGAGTAAAGCTGTGACTCTGCAGGAAAGATGCTTAAACTATGTAATAAAATATTTGGATGGGGTTTTTTCACAGCATGAAACTTCTTCTGTTCAAATGTTTGAGCACTTGATCGCTTCCAATAAGCTAGAAGAAGTCATGAGGTCCAATGGTCTTGTCCTGGAAGAAGATATGTTGTTCATCAAGGAACAAATAGGAGGGCCTATAGATGAAACTGCCTGTGTGAAGTCGGTGAGTCAGTGTGTGCTCCTGTGGTTATCCCAAGAAGTGTCTTTATTTTGCTGAAAGAACAGATAAGTTTGGCTTCTACTATATGTTACTTCTAGCTCCATGAAGTTCTGGGAATCTTGTCACAACTGATGCTGGAGGAGTATTGTGTTTATTTCTTACAGTGCTGGTAGGTGTGTTAATGTGCTTATAGTTCCCTGAGAATTCTTACCCAAAAGCTTCCAGATCAGAGGAAAGCTGTAGAAGGTTACTTGTATTTAGGGAACCTAACTGGTGACTAGGATCCACTCAAGGGTACTGAAAGCATTGGAAGAAGTGCTCACCAAGGTATTTTTCATCACTTCCCTGCAGTCCTGGGTGGTCCCAGTTGACTGGAAATGAGCAAATGTAACTCCATGAACAAGGGTCAGAAGGATGATCTGGGAAACTACAGGGCTGTCAGCCTGACCTTGGTGCTAGGGAGGGTCGTGAGGCAGATCATCCTGAAGGCCATCATGCAGCACATAGAGGACAAGCAGGGAACCAGGCCCAGCCAGCCTGGGTTTAGGAAATGCAGGTCATGTTCAGCTGGAGGGCAGGAAGGCTCTACAGAGGGATCTGGACAAGTTGGATCAATGTGCCCAATTGTGTGAGGTTCCACAGTGCCAGGTGTTGGGTCCTGCTACAGGCTGGAGTCAGGGCAGCTGGAAAGTGGCTAGGCAGAAAAGAGGTGCTGTTTGCTTGACAGTGACTGAAAATGAGCCAGGTGAGCAAGAGGACAATGGCACCTGGCCTGTACCAGCCATAGCATGGCCAGCAGGACCAGGACAGTGACAGTGCCCCTGTGCTGGGTACTGCTGAGACCACAAGTCAAATTCTGCATTCAGTTTTGGGCCCCTCACTTGAAGAAAGACACTGAAGTGCAATAGAGAAGGGCAGTGGAGCCGGGGAAGGGTCTGGAACGCAAGTATGATGAGGAGCAGCTGAGGGATCTAAGGGGGCTTGGCCTGGAGTAAAGGAGGCTTCCCACAGTCTTGATAACAAAACTGGGCACTGGCAGTGATGAGGCAGTGAGCAATCCAAGCCTGGCCCAAGTGCCAGAGCCACAACAGCTTTGATGACAGCAGAGAAATGCTTTGATTTATTGCAGTAGCAAACACAGAGGCAGAGAAGAAGTTGAAAGAACTCATTGAAGAAATGAGTTGCCTCAAGAGGCAAGCAAGAAGGCATGGGAGTTGTTACGAAATGCTTTGATTTATTGCAGTGGCAAACATAGAGCCAGGGATAAGACTTGAAGAAATGAGTTGCCTCAAGAGGCAAGCAAGAAGGCATGGGAGTTGTTAATCATTGCAATTCTATGGAAGACCTCAGTCCTCTCTCCTCATTTTACACTTTACAGCTTTTGTCATCTCTTCAAGGACACTCATTCAGTTGCCACCAGAGTAAACAACTGGTAGCAGCTGAAGTCAGTGGGAGATCTGTCAGGACAATCTGGTCCTAATCAGAATTTATATGTAGTCCCAAACAAGTAACCCACAAATGTTCACACTTGCCCATTATTTTCTGCTGCAGGAGTGGGTAGCAATCCCATGGCAAATACAAGGAACTTGGCATGGTGAAATTGAGTCTGAGATGCTATAGGAAGAGGACATCCATTTACAAAATCCACAAGCTGACTTTTATCCCACTGGACTCATTTGCACATGAATCTTGATGCCTGCCACTAGCATTGATCTTGTGCCAGGTTCTTTCCCCGTGTCTGTTTTGCCTTGTTTGGGTTCTGTGCCTGTTTTCCAGCAGGATACCAGGAAGAGGAGTGCCACACATGATATATGGCAGCACCTTCCTGGTGTTAGGCAGCAGATTGCACTGGCAGGCTGTGCCCTGTGGCCACTGCCATGACATGGACATAGGTGTTCAGGCACCAGATATGAACAGTGTCCTGAACATGTCCCAGTAGCAGAGCTCTGTGATCATGGTATTTTTATCCATGATGTGCTTGCATCCTGCTGCTTGCCTGTGTTTCTGTTGCTATTCACATCAGTTTTAGTATTTCTGTAGTGCAGGTAACATGGAAGCCATGTTTGCATATAATGCTTTCCACTTTCAGAATTTCAAGGCCACTTCATGGCATTTTTTAGGTGAAGGATCTTTAATATTTCAAGAAAATGTGTACCTTGTATCTTATTATTTTGGCATTTGTTTCCTGTTCACCATATGGCTGAGTTGTCCCTTGTGAGGCAGGAGTTTAAGTAGCTGAATATTCAAAAAAATTTTCTTAAAACTTCAAAGTGTTTTTAAACTCTGTTCTATGAAGTTGTAGATTGCAGAAGATTGCAGGACAGTGTCATATTTGTGTATTTAATTCCCTGAAAATTAAATAATTCCAAAATTTCCTCTCTTTGCTGGTATGTTGGGTTTTTTTTTGTTTTTTCATTTCAAAGCTGCAGACTTTCTTTTAGTAGAGTAATGGGCAATAAATACTTGTGTTCATGGGTTTTATTCTTCTTGAGATTATGAGAAGACAGCTACTTAGGCCCTCTTCTGGATTTCTAATGCCTGATAGCTTCTGGAAGTTCTTTCCTTGTCTTTGTGCTCTTCACTATCTCAGTGTTGGATGTTTATCACAAGCAAAGTCAAGGTGTATTCCCACTGTCTTTAAACAGCCATTTGACATTGTTGGTACACTTTTAATTTCTTGTTGTTTCTGCTGTTTTTCTTCTTGGTTCCCGTCAGTGGCCCTACCGTGGTCGACCAAAGGAGAAAAGTTTCCTCTATGAGATTGTAGCTAATAAAAAAAATGGCATTGACGTTGACAAGTGGGATTATTTTGCAAGGTACAAATCTTATATTTTATTAGGAATTCCTATTGAGAAAATGCTACTGATGTACAAAAGTGATCATATCGTTAAACACTCTGTGGAATATTTCCAGGGATTGCCATCACCTGGGAATCCCGAATAATTTTGACTATAAGCGCTTGCTGATCTTCACTCGGGTCTGTGAAGTGGGAAACCAGAAGCACATCTGCACCCGTGACAAGGTGAGCAGTGTGTGCAGCCCAGGGGTCAGAGCACCTGGGGGCACACAGGGGAGCTGCACCCATGGCTGGGCATCCTGCCCCATGCTCCCTTAGCCCAAGAGGGAGAGAAGTATTTGCTGCTCTGAAAGTTTTTCTCAGAAGCTGCTGTTTGGGAGAGGGACAGAGCAAACCACAGTTTGAGAGCATTTGTGGCAGATCCTGTCAGGGGATACTCTACAGATGGGTCAGATCTGCGTAATCCTGCTGCAGGTCTGCTGGGCTGGAGTTGAATGTGGCTGTGGTGAGGGGCTGCTGAAGGCATGAGGAGTCCTTTTTGCTGCCAGGCTGCCTGGGTCACTGCCAGCACTCTGCTCTCCTGCCGTGGCCTGAGCCAGTTGCAAAATTTGGAAATTGTGAATAATAATCATCCTGCTTTGTGCTGTGAATGGGAGGAGACAACTAATTTGATTAATTGATTGTTTTAATTTTCCTAGTAAGACAGTGGCAAATGTAAATGCTGATAGGGTTTTTTTGATTCAGGAAGTTGGAAATTTGTACGAGATGTTCCACACCCGGAATTGCCTGCACCGGAGAGCATACCAGCATAAAACTGGCAACATCATTGAAATAATGCAAGTATATTTTCCTTTCCTTCCTTTTCAATTTATATTTAAGTTCTTGAAACAATCCATATCCATTTGGAATATTCAGAAAATCAATAAGGTGTGACATAGAATAAAAGCTACTTCTGATTCTTGTGAAAACACTTAGTGCTTAGTGTGTCATAGAGGCTGTGGTTAACAAAGCAGACAATAACAGAAAGAGAGGAGGACAAAAGCATCCTTCCACATTAAATTAAATTAGAGAAGAGTTACTAAAGGCCTGAAGAAGCACAGGACCAGGGTGTGCTTAAACCATTTAAACTGCTGACAGCTGAAGTCAAATCCTTATCTGCTAGTTAGAGACCACTTAGCTCAAACTGCCTGGTTACTAGAACAAGGTACTAACAAAGTCATGAAAGGGCTCATGTAGCTCAGCTGAGGCCTGGCTTTGTGTTTATGTAATGCAAGATTTGTTGAGGACCAACTCAGCTGGTACCTGCTGTTTTATCTCTTGTTGGTGTCTATAGAATTTTCCCTGTAACATTATTCTTTTTATTTTTCTTGAGAGTCAGAAATACTTGTATTCTCAAATGTTTTTTTCCTTAGGGTCTTGTCTGCTGGGTAACTGTCTGTTGAGTTTAATAAAAAGGAATGTTAAGGATTACACAGTACGAGAGGGATTTGGATTGCTTTCATTTCATAAACTTCACCTCCTGATTTAGGGATCCTCCAAAACTCAGACTAAAAATGCTCAGGGTTTGACAGCACCTACATATGACAAGTAAAACATATTTTTTAGTTTAGAAAAACTCAGTTCTTGGTTTCCTGTAATTATAGCACCTTTCCAAAAGAGTGTCCAAGCTGGAAATGACAGCAAGATACATGGAAATTTGGAAGAATCTCATCTTTAGAATATAATTTTTTCCCATCTGAAAATACTGATGTTTGTGATGCTTTCCCTTTACAATGCTTTACCCTCTCAGCTAACTCGGGAAGCAAGGAGTCTGCAAAAGGGTTTGCTCATCTGTGAGGGAGCCTTGCTGCAGCTGAGGGACCATGTCACCATTTTGCAGGGTTCTGCAATTGTCACAGCAGAGCTAAACCCAGTCTAAAGCAGAACAAAGTGAATTTTCTCATTCATCTAAAGGTTACTTTCTGTTCTGAAGCTGTCTTCAGTAAATCTCTGTTGGAGTGTGCAGTGACAGCATGGAGACAAGATGTTTCAGTGATCAGTGTCTGCTGTGTGCAGGAGATGCAGTTTCATCTGTTTATAACATACTAATTTGCTTCATTTTGCCTGTTGACCAGTGAGGTGTTTCAAAACTATATTATCCCAAAGCCGTAATTTTGTCTCAAACTAGGATAACAGAAGCCTTTCAAAAAGCAGACAAATATTTTGAAATAAGAGGCTCTGGAGGAAAAGTGTATCGGATTTCTACAGCAATGGAGGACATGGAAGCCTACACTAAACTAACTGGTATGAGGTCTCAGAATTATTTTTTCAAGTAAAAGAGCACGAATAGCTGTTAAAATGCTGGTTTTACTGCTTTTGTGTGCAGAAGGTGGGGCAGGCCTGGGCTGTCTAATGCTTGTGCTCTGAAATCTTGCTAGAAGGGAGAGCAGGACCTTCTAATTTAAATGACTTTTATGTTGAGAGAGAGAGAGAGAAAGAAGCACCAACTTTATATTCCACATATGTTCAGATTCAGCAGTGTTAGAAGGTTCTGCCCATGCCCTGAATTTGTTGCACTTGTCACAAGTGGGATGTGAGTGAGCTCTAAGTGGTATTACAGGTGACTGTGTCAGGTGGAGTACTGGATGTGTTTTGTGGTGTGAAGCTATTCCCAAAGCAGGTTCCAAACAGCTCTCGTGGGGTCTCAGGTTGCCCTGCCTGCCTCCCTCTCCTGGTCTGTGCTGTGGATCCCCAGTGTTCTCCTGGTTGTTTTCAGAGCTGCAGTGGGGGCTAGGCAGCCTTACTGCTCTGTACGTGCAGGGCAGGGGTGCTGCAGGTCCTGCTCAGGGCTGCTCCTGATCACTGGCAGCTCTTGCAGCACCTGTCAGCTACAGATCACCAGGACTTCCAAGCTGGTCCTCCTGAGTTTCCATCACCAAGCCTTAGCTGGCCAACACAGAGACTGAGGAACTTCTGTCTTTGGTCCATGGATGAAGTGACAGGGCCTGAGGGCACTGTTGTAGAGAGTCCTGTGTGCCTTAGCCTTTGTCATGTCCTTCATCTGCCAGAGCCGCCTGCAGTCTGCTGCGGGAGGAGTCCCCTCTGTCATCCTCCTCTGTCATCGTGTGCCTCGGCTCAGGGCAGGACAGGGGTGGCTGGTTTGAGGGGCAGTAGTTGTTGGGGAACATGAGCTGCCTTGCTGAGCAATGGAAGGCTGGGCAGAAAGGACAGAATAGGGGTGAAGTTGTTCCTGTGCTGGGCCTGTTCCTGCGGGATGGCTGGCCTGGTGGGTCTTGCTGTAACCACCTGCTTACCTGTGCCACCTGGTGAGGAGCACAGCTCGGGGCAAGGACAGCAGGGCCGTGCCCAGCCTCTCACAGCAAGGAACTGCTTGCTGGGACCATCTGTTCAGCAAGGAGGGCTGAACAGCAAGGGGGAGTGATGTGAGGAATGTTCCTGCATGTACAATGGAGCATGAAGGACGAGTATGGCCTCCTCTTAAACCTCCTTTCTGCCTCTGGTGCTGTGGAGGGTAAGATTTTTCCTTTTTTTCTTTTCGCTCAGGGAACTTTCTTCCATTTGTTGCCTGCGAGATGGGAATGAACAATACTTAAGAGAGAGAAAAGATGTAGCCAAGGAGGAGGGGGAAGAGTGCAGTTTGCTACCATTCTCTTGGGAAGGGCAGAGATAGCGGGAGATTTTGGATGAGGGGCTGGGCTCAGCTCTGCTCACTGCCCTGGGATCAGAGGTGAGATGGGCAGGCTGCTGCTGGGCAGAATTTGCTGCCACCATGGAATTCTGTCCTGCGCTGCTTTCTGCTTAGCGGGGGTGAGCTGCTGCTCATGAGAGCAGCTGCTGAACTGGGACCTTTCCCACACCCGACCTCACTGGGACGGGGCCCCCGGCCCCCTCCCCATTCCCGGGGAGCGTCTGTGGGAGAAGGCCGCCCTGGGCTCTGCGTCTGCCCTCGGTGCTGCCGGGCTGCTGCTTGTTTGCCTTCTTACACACACACACGTTAGTAAGGAACTGCTGTTCCTTTTCTCATATCTTTGCCTGAAAGCCCTGTAATTTCAAAGTGATAATAATTTAAATGGAAGAGGTTCATATTCACCATTCCAAGGGAGGTTCCCATCTTCTCTGGCAGACACCTGTCCTTTAATCCAGGAAAAGTGCTTGCAACCTGGACACTCCTAAGTTATTTCAGCAGTCCCTGGTGACTGATGCTTCTGTGAATTGTCCAGTTATGGACCTCTACAAATTATGAACCTCTGGGAGGTTCTGCAGCAGGAGGTTCCCTGGTTTTCTTCCATGGTGGGTGAAGAGCCACCATGTGTTGCCTCCTGATTTGGAACAAATCCTAGTTCTAGTAAAGGCTGAGACAGCAAAGCATTCCTTGTCACTGCTGCTTTTGCACAGGGAAGATGTTCATGGGCTTATTTCCCCTGCATTATCTATTCTTTGTCTCAAGAGACTTGGTCTGTGGCTCTTTATGGAGGAGTTGCTGGCTTTGGTTGAGCTTGTCCATTAAACCAGTTGAATGTGTTTTGGTACACAGCTCAGAGATTGTTCTGGACCCTGTTGGAGCTCCTCAGGCCAGTTGCAGCTCAGGGTAGGCTCTTGCAGGGCTGTGCTTGCAGCATGTGTCGAAGCTGCCCAGGTGTTCCTGGCCAGGGAGTGCAGTCGTGGGGTGCAGGTCAGGCCAGCAGCATCCTGGCAACAGCAGTCTCTAGGACAGCCAAAAATAACCCTTCTGTTCTGAAGCCACATCAAAAGAAACCTGATGGTGGGAGTCTTGCTGCATGTGTCACTGTCATGTGGAGTCAGGAGGGAGGATTTCGATGCTGGCTTCCAAAGTCTGAGAAAACCTGAAGGATTAATGGCCATTCTTTATTTTTTGACAAGATAGAGTCTTTGCCCATGTCCTGAGCTAGTTAGTGGTGGAGTTCAGGATAGTGTGCTAAATAAGACTGGCTAAATAAGAGGAGAAAGTAACTTCTAGTGAAATAAAAAAGTATGTTGCCAAGGTGAGAATTGAGATAGTTTTTCTGCCAACAACCATTGTGAAACTAATGATAATTAAGGTAATATTGTGACTTCTCATTGTCAGACTTAGTTCCGTCACTCCCTGAAAGTGACTTTCCTGAACCAGCAGTTTCTCTGGTTGCTTTAACCTTTAGCCCTGTTTGTTCGTTTTACTGTGACACTGGATTGTGACATACATAATAAAAATCAATGCAACTTTGGCAGACTGTCTCTACCTGGAAATTCTGCACTCAAATCACCCAGAACTGGAGGAGGCACGAGAAATTCTGCGTAAAATAGAACGACGTGAATTATACAAGTTTTTAGGAGAGACTCGACCTGAATCAAAGAAGGAAATTATAAAGGTAATGTCCCTTAGCAGAACGTTCTGCATTCTGTCCCCATAGAAATGTTCTTGAAGTTGCTGAACATCCATTTATCTCTGTGTGGGCTTTGTTTAGTTTGAGGGTTTGGGGGTTTTTTGTTATTTGCTATTCAAAAAATAGTTAAAAGTTTTCTGCCTGTCTTTAAATAGCTGAGCCATGAAACATGGGGAAAGTTTTATCTACAGACAATCAGAACGCCAACAGGTGGAAATTCAGAAGCTGAATTATTGCAGAAATATTTTCAGGAAAAGCTTTTCTGAAAAATATAAAATTTTATAAAATATTCTTACAGTCCATTGATTTAAAAGGTTATTACATCATTTGATGTTCATGAAAAATTTCAAAACAATAACAAACACGTTTGCTTTGAATCATAATGTGTGTGCTTTGCTTTGAGAATAAATATCAAACTGAATAATAGCTGCTGATTTTCTTGGTATTAAATTCTCTACTAAGCATGAGAATGCATGTACATTTTCCAGTCTTTTTCATGAGTGCTTTTCAAAGTAGATATCAGTTTAATTCCTGTTGTCTTATTTCAAAATAATGATATATTAGAGCTCACTTCAGCTGGCTCAGCTTTTTTAATGTGCTGTACTGTGTTGTCAGGTCATCAGCTACTTATCCCCAAATTTCATCCATACTGGTGAAAATTTTCTGTTCCTGATTTCCAGAAGTGTATGTCTGCATCTAGAAAGCATTCATAAAAATAATTCAGCTCTTTTAAAGAATAAGGTTAGAGAAGGACTACTAGATGTAGCTGTTCATCTTTTTGTTTGAGGAGAAGATTTGCTTGTATTCTTTGTTTAAGAAAAAGTAGCATTAAGAGATTCTGTATTACAAAAGCAGGAGGAAACAGGTGAAAGCAAACATGAAATGGTTGTATATGGATTGTCAAGTTTCTGCCCTTCTGAGGAGAAGGTTGGGGTAGGTGGCCCAACAAATCAGGAGACAGGTGTGAGAGCAAATGTTACGAGTTTCACCTTTAAACAGCTCCTTTTAAAAGCTTGATTAATGAAGGGAAAACTGTCACTTTGAAAGTCCAGCCAGAGGCGTTGGATCTTGGGGTATCCAGGGTATTGTTTTGAAGAGAGACTGGATCCCTGCCAGTGCTTTGCAGCTCGGGGTGCACAGCTGAGGGCTGGAGGGAGGATGTTTCCCCCTGTGGTGCCTGTGCAGGAATGTCAGAGGCTCAGCCTCCTCTCAGCGCTGCAGGGGAGCTGCACAAGACAGAGCTGTGTCTGCTCTGCTCCTTCACACACCACAAGGTTGTGTTTAGAGCCACAGAATGGTTTGGGTTGGAAAGGACATGTAAAGGCCATCCAGTCCATCCTCCTGCCATGAACAGGGACAGCTTCCACTAGACCAGGTAGCTCCAGCCCTGTGTGTTTCTGTGATTCTCAAGCTGGCCAGAGCCAGGGGAAAATCCCAAAGAGCTTGAGAGTTCTCAAATTCAGGTTGAGTTTCCAGTTAATGCAAACCAGAAAGGTAATTTCAAAACAATGCAAGCAAAGTTAGGCAGTAAGTTAACACATATACATTCTGATACAGAGTAGAAATAATTACAAACAGGCTGCCTCAAGACTGTTCCCTCCTGGCAAAGTTTTCCTCTGAGCTTGCTCTCAGTCTAAATAAACCTTTTCTTGGTTTCTAGAGTCACTGCAAACCACACGCGTGCAGCAGCTTGGCAATGTGTGTGAATTTCTCTTGTCAGTCTCTTCATCTCTACAATGAACAAATCAACAGGGAAAAAACCAAAACCAACCAAACAAACAAAAAAACCCAAAAAACAAACAAACAAAAACACCAAAAAACAACCCAGCTGCTCCTAGTGGAATTCCTTCCCTCCTGGACAGTCTCCAGACTGCTCTGGGCTGCATTCCCATGAGTCTCAGTTGCTCCCAGGAAATCTTGCTGCTTCAAATTTTGCATCTTCCCTCAGAAAAAAGGCCACAGCCTTTGAATGAGGACTCACACATTTCAGTGGACAGCTGTTCTCCATCTAACCATGCACCTCTGCTTTTCGTTAGCCTAAGTGTCAGCAGGGAATATTCCTCTGGGGCCAAAACCAAGCAAAACTCCTTTGTGGGTTTCAGTTTGTGGAGTACTTTAGCGGAGTACTTTTTGTAGTGGTTTTTTTTTTTTTGTGGTTGTCTGTCTCTTGTGGTTTTTTATATGTTTTACTGCATAGATATAAAAGCTTTATTAGAGGGTAAGATCCTGCAGCCCTTCATTTAAAAAGTTCAGTGAAAATGTCTAGTATTCAGCTTTGGGGAACTTAATTGTAACACATTTGTATTGGTAAAACAGTTGATTGAAGGTACTTATTTTCTACTTTCATGCTTCAGCATTCTGGATGGTGCACTCCTGCTCTCTGCCTGCCCCATCATCAGGTGTAAAGCTCCTCCTTCACAGACTGGCAGATTTGGGGTCTTCTCATTTGCATAAGTTTGGTTTCTTTCTAAAAACTGGGTTTTGTATTAATGGCTGTGGTGTTCAAACAACCAGATTGTTGCAAGAGTCTTGTCAATCTGTGAAGAATTGAAAGCTTTGGTTTAAAAACATATTGTGTCAGGTGTTGTGTTGCCTTGACCTAGACCTGAGAGTGCATAAAGGTAAATTGAGTTACTGAGTTAATCCTTTGGTTTGGTTTCTTTCAGAGCAACAGCCTGGCAGAAAGCATTGCTAATTCCAAGCCAGAGAAGGACCCTCCAGATGTGGAGCTAAAGGCTGAGAACTTCATAGTTGATGTAAACACCTCTCAGGGCGGGTTCAAGTAAAACCTTCTCTATCACAGAGGGCCTTGTATACCCTGGTGAAAGAACAGCCCCACAGGGTGTCTGCAGCTGCAGGCCTGGTTCACTTTGAGGGTCTGAGGGCAATGAGTTTCCCGTGGGAGGTTTGCTGTGGTGGGAGGGTGTGGGGCAGGCAGTGGGAGCCTCACTGGGCTGTCACCTATACACTGCTCCTGGTGACAAATGGGCTCTCCTGTCACTGTCCTCAGTCCAACCAGGAGCAGTGGAGAAACCTGTGGGGTTTGATACAGGGGTGTCAATGGCAGCAGCCTGGGGACCCCTGGATGGGTCAGGAAGGCAGGAAACCTCTGGGGCCAGTGGGAAGAAAAGAGGCAAAGTGACCTCCAGGCTCCAGGTGTTGCACTCCTGATGCCTGGCAGGCACAAAGCACCTGCTGCCATGGCTCAGTCTGCAGCCAGCAGTGGTGGGAGGGAGGGAGCCTGAGGCAGAGGAGGGAGCTGGGGCAGTCTGCAGGCATCACACAACTTAATCCCTATTCTCAGTTCATTCTGGGAAGAGCGAGTGGCTTTCCACAGAGTGCTTCACGAGCTGCTCCTACAGCACCCTTGCACTGAAGGTTCACTTCACTGGCCAGACTGCAGCAGTTCACTGAGCTTTAAAGAATTTGCCTGGGCTTTTCCCATCCCACAAACTGAAATCGTAGGGAAGTGGGTCCATGACCACAGAAATGTTGGTGCACCAGGCTGATGTAAATGATGTCTGAACCTCATGTTTATGATTGTAAGCTCTGCTGCAGCCTCTGCAGGCTGTGTGTTTTGGGGAGGCCCAGGCTGGCAAGGGCCCAGTCCACTTCCAGTGCTGGAAACCAGAATGTTTCAGAGCACAACTGGGAGCTGGTCACTGTAAATGTGAATATCCACCTGGCAGCATCAGAGCAAGAGGGGGTGGAAGAAAAGATGCAAAATGCAACTACCAGATTGGTTTTTTTCAAGTAATAATTTGTTAATTACTGTTTCATTTGATGACTAATTTTCAGGAGTGGAGTGTGTGTGGCTTTTTGTATTTATTGTGAGAAAACAAAAGACAAACATTAACAAATGCCATTTTCTGTGTTTTACATGCAAGGTTATCAGCATGGATTATGGAATGAAGGAACAGAATCCAATTGATAAGGTTCACTTCTATTGCAAGGCTGATCCTTCCAAGGCAGTCAAAATCAGTAAAGAGCAGGTAGGTTTTTACTTTCCTTCTGAAAAGCATTTTCACCATCTGTGATGGAAGTGATCACAGTCCTGTGTGGTTGTTCATGCAGGATTTGTGGAGAGGTGGTGGGATCTTGGCCTTGCAGATCTTCAGTATGTGTTGTACTGTGACAATCTGGAACCCTGACAGCCTTTGCATATGAACAGTAGTTAATTGGAATACACCAGGAGTTGGAATATCACAATTGCTTTGGATAAAACTCATGGATTGTAGTGGAGCTTCTTACTGCTTTCCTTCTACATTCCAAGAAATACTAAAGCTTTTTTTCTGTTTTATTTCAAAGGTTTCAAAGCTTTTGCCCAAAATATTTATGGAGCAGGTTGTCCGGGTTTATTACAAAAGTCAGGATCCACGTATTATTTCAGCTGCAAAACAGTACTTTGTTCAGTGGTGCATGCAGAATGATTTCACCAAACCACAGGTAACAAATTCACTCATTTTATTTCTTGTTTAGAGCTCAAATCTTCATCTATAAGCTTGCTTTTTCATTAACAAGTTAGACATTTGGACCTTGCCTTTGTGGCAGAGGCTCCTACTCACTCACCTAACCCCTGGTTTTATCACAGCTCCCATCTGGGGGTGCTTTGGTTTCACTGAAGTAGTGCTGGAGACACCTAAAAGTACCATAGGATCATAGAATCATGGAATGGTTTGGGTTGGAAGGGGATGTTGAAGATCACCTTGTTCCAAACCCCTGCCATGGCAGAGACACTTTCCACTAGACCAGGCAGGGGAAAGATCTGCAACCTCAACCATGAGAAGGCCCCAGGAGAGGAGTGTTCCTAGGTGGGGATGCAGGCATGGAAAACTGGGTAAGGCCCATTCTTAAGGTCATTCTTCTGGCCTCTGTCTTTTAGATCAGGTAATTTTAGAAGGGCTTTTTACAAATGGATCAAGCAACAGCTCTCCCTGGTTGTAGAGTCTGGTTGTGTCCTCTAAGCAGATTGTTCAGGTTCAGGCACATCCACCCTGCAGGCCCTGGTGTGCTGCAGAGCACAGCAACGTGCATCTCACCAGCCACTTTCTGATCTTAGGCAGCTGATGGTCTGTGTTGGCAATGCCTGAGCACAGATTACCATCTGCATCTGACTGGGTGAGCCCCACTGCCTCAGCTGCTGTACAGCCTTGCTTGTTCAGACACTGCAAGGCACATCCCAGCACCAAGGGTAGGTTGGTTGCAGCAGTGCTAATGAGCTGCTGTGGGGAGGTCACAGGAAACACTCTAATGATTCTGTTGGTAGACCAGTGGCCAGGATACAGCCAGCTGACCTTCAAGATTTTCTGGTAATAATTTAGGAAGAACTGGACTGCCCATGGTAATGCCTTCTCAGGCAGAGCAGTTTTGTCTCTCCACCACTCACTGCAGCAGTTTCCACCTCTGGGATGCACAGTCACCAGTGTTTATTGATTTACAAAGATCCTGGGACCTTGGATTGATTTTTTCCAGTTCAACCTGAGGGTGAGCTGCTTTTCCTCGGCTTTAGAATGGAAAGCAAAAGTGAATTAATGTTTGCTGTATTTTAATGCTAGGATGGTGATGTTGTTGCTCCTCACCTAACTCCAATGAAGGAAACCTGGAATAAGATGACAGATGATGAACACAGGAGAGCCTCAGAACCCAGCTGTAAACAAAGGCTTTCTTTTGATAAGTAGCAGGTTTCTTTTTGGTGCTATTCAGTCTGCTTCCTCAGAAAATGAGTAAATTTGAGCATCAACTTTTCTAAAAGCTGGTTGGATGGACTGGAATAATTCACAGCGCAATGCAGAATGTATTTTGCAATACAGAATGTTTTAATGTAGATAGTTAAAGTGCATATTCCAGATGGACTTCTAAAAAACAATTTATTACAACAGAGTAAACTCAGTTCTCATTATTTTTTTAATGTATTGGCACTGTGTAGCAGGAGTAACTTTAAAAATTGCAATTCATTGTTATTACAAGATTTTACTACTCCGTCTAGTCCTGATCCCTTCCTTAGCTGTGCTATTGTATGACTTAGCAGAAAAAATCCCAACCCAGGTTTGATGGGGTTTTGGGGGGGTTTTCTTAGTGTCTGAGAAAGGGATAAGTATGCTTCTGAAAATACAGTGAGGTAAAGAAGAAATTACCAAGGGTGGCATCTTCAAAATCAGCAAAATTAATTTCATGAAAAAAAAGGAAGGGAGAGGGGAATCTTTTGATAACCAAAGGTTATATTTCTGGTATTCAAAAAGCTGGTGCAGCTCTTGCTACAAGTGACCACAATTTTTATTGAAGTAACAATGCATTGCAGTGCCATGCAGCCTTTTATTGTTTTATTGTGTATTTTTGATACATGGAATGTTATATTTTTTACTGTCTGTCCTGCAAAGACTGCTCAAAAGGCCAGTGGTGTGAGTGGTTGCAGGAAGGCTGGGCTGCCCAGGTGTTTGCAGGGCTCAGGTGTGCAGAGAGGGCAGTGCCAGCAGTGCCCTGCTCTGCCCATCCTGCACCAAGTGCAGCTTGGTGCTGCTTTGCACTGTACTGGGCAGACAGGCTGATCAGGAATCCATCCATTCTTGCATCCATGCCCTGTTCTCCTGGATCTCATGGCCGTCCCTGTATCATTTTTCTGTCTCTTGTAGATCTGTGAGGGTTCTTACAGTTTTCCTGTACTGGCAGTACTGGTGTGTATGTTCTGAATGTCTGTGCTGCTGGACAAGCGAAGACCATTTTCCTCTCATCTTTTACTCAGGTCTAAGAGGAAAGCTGCTTTCATTAAATAAAACCTCAAAGCTTGAAAAAGTCTGACCACAAAACTAAAAAAACAAAGTAAAAGGTTCAGTAATGCTCAGGAATTGGAGCAATCTGTGGCCTTTTTATCTGGAAAGGAAAGAGAGGTGTTGAACATCTGGCTCAGGCAGTCAGGTGTGGGTGGCCAGGGCAGATCCTGAAAAATAACCCAGTGGGAAAGTGAGAGAACTCCACAACCCCTGTAATATCTCCTTTGCCCTTTTTATCCTGGGAACTGGTGCTGTTAGAGGGAGGGAAAATGAATAGCCATGATACTTCTGCTGCTTATGTATCTGTGCTCATGTGTCTGAAGGTGTAACCTCTGGTGCTCCTGTCTAACAGTATTTCAGACCTGCAGATGAACCAGATTGGTTAGAAGGGCTTGTGACCTCTTTAAAAGCTTTTAAAAAATTCACTATTCCTCAAGAAACAATATCTTAGAGTGAAGGTATTTATCTCCCTTGTCTGCATAAGATCAAGTATAATTTTGATATAATTTTGTTCTTGTTGATTTGGTTTGTTTTTGTTACTAACTGTGCACTTTATACTTGGGAAAGATCTTTTGTTTATGTTAAACCAAAAGTGTATACTTTAGTTTAAGTTCTGAGAGCAGTTCTTTTCTCAACATGTTCATCTGAGCCTCTCTGAAGAATAAATTTATAAACTATGATTTACTATTCTTTTCAAGAATTGCAGTGTGTGGACTTCATTAAAAACAGTCTTGCTGTGCCATTCCAAGCAGCCAAGGTGTTCCCACCTGCTGTCTGTGGGAGAGCTTCCCTCTGAGGAGCTCTTGGTTCATATCTCCTCGTGGGCACTGGGGCCCGGGCTCAGGGAGTGCCAGCACTGCTCAGTGCAGCCACCTGGCCCTGCCACACCCTGGGCAGCCACCTCCAGGGCCAGGGAACCTTGGGTCTGCTGCAGCTGCTGGGGAGGGGAGGGCAAGGTGAAGCCATGCCTGAGCAGCCTGGTCACCCTCTGTGCTGAGGGGACAGCAGTGGTGGTGTCAGCCTCAGTGAGCTGGGTTGGGCTGAGCAGGCAGGGCTGGACCAAAGCCTGCCTGGAGGACTGGGTTCAGAGTGTGGGTTATCCGTGGCACAAGTCTTGTGCTAGGGGTGGTGCTGGCTCCAGTTCCAGAGGCCCATTACTGGTGGACAGGGTCCACCCTCAGCACATTTGCAGATGGGGAGACGTGGCTGCTACTCCAGAGGGATGTGCTGGGATCCAGAGGGGTCTTACCAGGCTGCAGAAAGGGTCTGACAGGAACCTTCTGAAGATCACCAAGAGGAAGTGCAATGCCTGCATCTGGGAAGGGTAATTTCCTTCACCAGAATGTGTTGAGGCCACCCACCCATGAGGAAGTATAGAGAAAAGGATCCAGGAGTTCACCATGAGCCAAAATATGTGCAACAACTCTTTGAGCCAAGTGTTCCAGTGGTGCTCTGGTGTTGTCAGCAGGTACAGAACCCTTTCCCTCTGCTCCACAGCAGAGAGGCCAGCCCTGGAGTGCTGGGCCCAGAGCTGGGCTGCCCAGTACAGGAGACAGGGACAGGCTGGACAGAGTCCAGCACAGGGCCGTGAAGGCAATGGAGGGACTGGAGCATCTGTGCCATGAGGAGAGGCTGAGAGAGCTGGCACTGCCCAGCCTGGAGCAGAGCAGGCTCAGGGCATCTCATCCCTGGGGATAAAAACCTGGGGAGAGGCTGCAGAGGAGACAGGGCCAGGGACAGCTCCAGGGGCCTCGGGCACAAAGTGACACACAGGAGGGGCCCTCTGAGCTCAGGAGACACTTGTGCACTGGGAGGGTGGCCGAGCACTGGTGCAGGTGCCTGGGGAGGTGGGGGAGTCTCCATCCCTGGAGAGAGTGAAAAGCCACCTGGACACATGCTGGGCAGCCGGCTCTGGGTGGCCCTGATGGAGCAGGGGCTGGGCAAGGTGACCTCCAGAGGTGCCTCCAGCCTCCCCCAGCTGTAGATCCTACCCCAGTGCTACTGGCAGAAGTGTGAAATGGGCCTGAAGGCAGGGGCTCTGCAAGGGGTGAGGCAGTGCTGGGTTTAGGAAAAGGTCCTGCTGGACACAAGGGTGAGGTCCCCAGGGGGGTGGTGCTGTGCAGCCACTTTCAGCAGGGAGCATTGGGTAGCACCAAGGCACAGGGGCTGGGTGCCCTGAAGGGCTGCAGGGGGCTCCAGGCACGTGTCACTGGGGGTCTGGGACAGTGGAGGGGTCAGTGGCATTCTGCAGGTGGAGGGAGACATGAAAGGGTAGAGAGGAAAGGGGTATGAGAGGGTTGTGTTGACAATAGGGCTAGTCAGTGTAGTGTCTGCCTGAGCCCTGCACCTCCTGTCTGTCCTCTTAAATCCATTTTCACCTATTTCTCTGTGAATCTCCCAGCCTGTGTGCATGTGTGCTGCAAGGAGTAAGTGCCAGCTGCTGGAGAGATGGCACAGGCTGGCCATGGGAGATAGAATCAGCAGGGAAGCGATTGGTGAGGTTCAGCACAAGGTACTCAAGGGCTGGGAGGGTAGGTGGATGTAAAGCACTGCAGGTTGGGGCTCCATGGGATGCAGGCCTCACAAAATTGCAGATTTGGGGACAGGAGCTGACATAAGGTGAGGTTGTGGGGTGATACTTCAGCTGGATGTCCAGCTGTGCTCCCACCATAAATACATCAAATGTGGTCAAACCAGACAGGCCCTTGCCCTCCAATGGACCCCCACGAACCACCCCTGCCTGGAATCCCCCTGCAGGGCTGGTTCTGCTACTTGGACAGGGGTGGTGGACGAGGAGGAGGAGAGCTGGTTCAGCCTCCAGGAATGAGGCTAAACCCTGGCAGCCAGGCAAGAAGCAACAGGTTGTGGAGCTCTGGATGGGAAGGGCTCTTGTCATCCCCTCCTGGTCCTCACAGGGTGACAAAGGGTGTGGACTGTGCCAGAGGGGGGTGGGTCCCTGAAGCAGTGCCCCAGGCTGACCTCCCACTCTTGCTGTGGCCACACACCCCAGGTTGGGACAAGACATGGCTGTCACAGCTCCTGGCCTGCTCCCCACCACGGGTCCTGCACACCTTCACAGAGCCATTCAACGAGCAAAGATGAGGCCAGGAGAAGTTTATTGAGGAATGTGACTGTGCTGTCTCCAGCACTGCCAGAGCCAGCCCTGGGGGCAGAGGCAGCCTGGGCTTGCTCAGTCCTGAAATGTCACTGCTCTTGAAGCTTCCTTCTCCGTGTAGGGCCCTGCCGTGCCCAGCTCTGCCACGTGCCCTCCTCCTGGGGCAGCTCTGCCTCATCCCAGCCAGGTGGTTTGGGGCTGGGCTTGGGGTTAGGGTTGGGGCTAGGAGTAGTTAGGTTTAGGGTTAGTTGTGCTATGCCACTGTGGGCCCATGCACACTCTGGGCTCCCCAGCCACACTGCAGCAGTGCTGCAGGCCTGAGACCCCACTGCTGTTTTTCCAGTCACGCTGCCCCCACCGGCTGTTCTTTCCCCATGAAATCGGGATATTACTGGGAACAGGTGAAAGGAGCAGGGGGTGAGGCTGGCAGCATCCCGCAGGCTCTGCAGGTGCTGCCAGGGAACAGCTGTGCTTGAGACATCAGTCCAGAGAATCCTCTCTCCAGCAGCTTTTCCTTGGGTGTCTTTGCTGGGGTCAGGCCAGACCCCACATTTCCAGATCCTGGATGCAGAACTCCTCCCGGTGTGAGAGGGTCTCATTGTCGAAAGTCTCGCAGGGCTGGCTGCCCCCGTGGTGCAGGTCCCCATCCAGCCACAGCCCAAACCTTCCGCTGCGGATGTGCCAAGAGCAGGGTCAGCTGCCACCTGCCTCCCTCATGGCTGGAGACCTCCCACGCCACCTCCCGGGCCAGCAGCCACCTCCCGTCCCCACTGCTCCCCAAAACGGGCCTGAGACGGGACAAGCAGCTGGGGCACGTCTGCCCCCGTGCCTGCAGGCAGGGCAGGGGCAGGGAGCGGCAGCCCTTCCAGCAGGCAGCAGGGTTAGGGAATGAAAAGCCCAGTGCTGCTGGACAACCGATGCCAGTGTTTTGGGGCTCAAAACATCACCCCGTGCTTGGCCCCAGCTCCGCAGGGCAGTCTGGCTTCCTGCGATGGCCCTGATGGCCACCGGGGCTGGTGGCCCTCTGAGCCGCGGCAGCTGCCGGGGCAGTTCCTACCTGCCCCCACCGACCATCAGCAGATTCGCATCCCCTTTCAGGAAGAAGTCGTTCTTGCCCGTCCACCTGAACACCTGCAGGGGACAGCACACAGGGGAGAGCGCGGCTGGGGCAGTGTCCCCATCCCCATTCCTGTCCCTGTCCTGCCAGGACCAGCTGGGGCTGCTGAGCCGAGCTGGCTCTGCTCGGGCAGCTCCAGGAGACCGGGCCGAGCCTGTGGCTCGGATCCATCCCCTGGCAGGTCTGTGGGCCTTGCCAGGGCACAGCTGCCCCCGCTAAGGCCCCGTCACACGCACAGCCCCCAGCGGTGCCAGGCATGGCTGCTCCACATTCTGCCAGCCTGGAGCTGGGCTGCGGCCGCCCTGCCACGCGGAGGGAGCCCGGTGACACTCAGCAGGGCAGAGTCCCCTTCCCCGAGCCCCCCTCCCTGCGCACTGCCTGTGATTCGCCTTCTCCCCCCAGCCCTGGACAAAACTGGGGGCTGCTGCCAGCAGGGTCCCCCGGCTGCTGTCCCCACGTCACCCCAGATCCCCCCAGCTCCGCGGGGACCCCCAGGCATGGCCCGGCACTCGGGACATGGCCAGCCCCGGGGTGCCCTCGGCTGGCAGCCTGCAGCCGCACCTTCAGCTCGGGGCAGAAGGAGAAGAGGAACGTCTCCCCCGTGCCGTAGAAGCCGCTGCTGCTGCGAATGGCGCTGGCGGAGAAGGCACCGAAAGCCTGGGGAAGCAGAAGGGGAGGCTCACGGGGCGGCGTTCAGGGGGCTGCCAGCGCCGGGACGTGTCTCCGTCCTGCCAGCCGAGCGAGGAGGTGCCCGAGCCCCGTGGACACGGGGCAGCCGGGCTGGGGAGGGCACCGTACCTGCGCCTCCGTGTCCCTGATGAGCAGCAGGGCCGGGGAGTCCGGCCGGGCCCCGCTCCGGTACAGCGTCCGCAGGCTGAAGCCGTCCCGCCCGGTGGAGTAGAGCAGGTGCCAGGGCTGCTGCGTCAGCCGTGGGGGCAGCTGGGGGCTCAGCTGGGGCACAGTGACCGGCTGAGCATCCTCCCCTGCCCCAGCACAAACCTGAGATCTCACCGAGAGTCCTCCGGAGAGGAGGACAACACATCATCCCTCCAAGCAGCCTCCCAAGATACCCATCTGAGCATCCTTGCGAGAGATGCTTCAACACATTCCCAAAGCGTCCTCACCCTGCAAACCCTTCTGAGATGGCTCCCCAAGCATCCATCTCCCCAAGAGGTGACTGAGGTGACCGTCCCCAGGCACAGGAGAATGCCCCCCCTCTGGTCTCACAGGGGACCATTGCTGGCAGGACAGTGGTCACGGCAGACGAGCGGGAGGGTGGGGTCCCTTGCCCGCGGGGGTGCCTCACCTCCTCGATCTCCCTGTCCCGCAGGATGCTGCTGGGTGTGCTCAGCGCCAGCCTGCACGGCTCCTCCTCGGCTGCTGCCGGGGCTCCCTCCCAGCCCCGCTGCCCCTCTCCAGCTGGGTCCCCGCATCCCATGGGCAGCTCCTCGTCCTGGTCGGGCTGGGG